GAAGGGTGAAGGTAAAATAGACCCAGTGCCTACTTCTCAATGTCTTAGGTGGGTGCCTATCTAAATTCGACGCATTCAAAGTAGGTGTTTTTAAGGTTGCTGACTGACAGAATAAGCCGATTTCTCTAAGGGTTCGTCAATAAAATACTCGAGTCCATTTTACGTCTGGCTCGTGAGCGTTTATGGACCAGCACGTGTTTGGTACGTGCCGACTTGTTTTTCCACGCCAGCCATTACACACATGACAGCTCGGTCGTCACTTCGATGTCCACTGTGTGCTTTACAGCAGGGCGAAAGCAGGTATGGTGGCTCGCCTCCTTTCTCATTACCTCCGCCATCATTGCTGTTTTCCTCTTCAGTCCTGACTCTTGTCTAATTGCTCTAGTCCACCCATCCATCCATCCATCATCGCCATCGTCATGGGAATTGCTTCCTCTGAGCCACCAATTCTTAGGTAGCCCGATCCAAGCGCGTGGACCGTAGTTAGCAGGTTAGCCAGAAACGCACTTGAGCTGTGGCTGGCCGAACAGCTATTGTGGAGGACGGTTCTCAGTAGGGCCTGAATTCGAAGGTCTAGGCCTCCATCCATCACTCCTGCGGTCGAACCATCATTTGATGGCAATAGACATTTGCCATCACCTTATTGTCATGTTCATGCCTTTCTCATTGTAATGACAGTCAAACCTCGACCACTCGGGTAGCAGTTATCCCAAGCAACTTTTCACCGTGTATAACCGCAAATAATACTTCAAAAGAGCTCATTTCGACTTCCGAGTCGACTTATTTTCCAGTTGGAGTAAACGTCTTGGGATTAGTCTCGGACTGCTGTGTTTTTAGTACCTCACTTGAAGGGCGATTTTTACTTCTGAGTATCGCAGAGCTGTTGTTGCTGCCAGTAAATAAACGGTCTTTTTTCCTGTTGGAACAGTTAGTTTATGTCAAGGTGTGCTGTTACTTTCCCCAGCAGTCCTTACGACTTGCCGGCGTCAATTACATGAAAGATCCCTGTTCAATGTTGCACTTGAACTTGGCTCGTTTCTTTATTAGCGATCACTGGAGCTACAATATGACGTATGCTGTTGACTTTTCCCAGGTTCATCTAGGCAGAATACTGGCTATGCAAACGGTTGCCTGCCCCTCGGCACCATGGTTCCATAGACATTTGCAGAAGCACTGTGTCTCAACGAATTTTTCTATTTCCCATAACAACTAAAAGATTTTCCCTTCTATTTGTCAGCCTGATTGCTTCTAATCTGTTTTGATGGAAGGAAGTTCGTTCTCTGAGCACCGAAAATACTGTCATTTTAGCTGGTTACGCCTTCTCTCAGGACGAGAACCGCTCTGTTTCTCAAACCCAGGTCGTCAGATCTGCCGACTCGTCGCGCCCGAAACCCAGAGGAGACTAGCCTCTCTGTTACGCACGTATTATCCTTCCTGCTTCCTCCACTGCGTTTGTGCCAACTGACGATACACCTTTTAATCTTTTGTCATCGGTGTATCCTCTTCAGTAACATGTTCACCCATTACTTGCTATCCAACCCCGACGCCTCGGAACAGATTTCGAGCTGCGAGTATCACTGCATATCGAGGGCATTTTGACTTTTCTGTTGTTCTTTCTTTTTATACTGTCTGCTTTCACACTGTTAAGCGCGCTTTGTAACTAATGCGTTACTCCTTTTCCCATAAATTGTTGGTTAATGGATGTTCTGCTTGAGAGTTAAGGTCTCACCAGCACCAACATTAGGACAAACTTAATTGTCTCTGGTTAGTTGAGACTGTTGCCATACTATTGAGACAGGTGAGTCTAGAATTGGCTATGGTTGGCAAGAAGTGAGGCTCACTTGGCAATCTTCCCTAACGCATCCGGCTCAGGGGAGTCGCCCGTTGCAACCATTTACCATCTTTGGTGAACTTTGGAATCCCGCGTTTAATCTTTTATATGGTTCCCCTATAAAGACGAACTTTAAATTGACATAATCATGCCACGTGGTTTTGTTTCTCTCTCATATCCTAGTGCAGTTGTCTCGATCCAGAAACTTTGCGAAATTTAAACCTTTTCTCGTTGATTGTGCACATTTCCACAATTTTACCCAATAGGGATTTAAAATGTATTTGTCCATATTTCCCTAAATAAAATTGAACCGAACACTTACACAACTGCTTCCCTAGCCACAAAACTGTAAGTCCATTAGACCTCTTTCCGCAGGAAAAGATAAACAGCCTTGCTATTTATGTGGGTAATCTTCGAGCTTGTGAATTTGTCACCTCAATAACTGCCGGCACAACCGAAGAATTTACATAGACACGTAGGCTGTTACACCGACTTGCGTGCGGGAAATTTGTGTTTTTCGCATTTCCTTCAACACTATCTCTTATTGGTTTTATGTTGATGCAACAGCCTTTAAGGTGCTTGTTTTCCCTCATTGAACTATTCGTTCTCGACAGATCTAGCGTTTCCGTTACGCCTGACGTTATCCGCATTAATTATCCTTCGTTGCCACTTCTCACCGTCCCATGCAAAGTGGATTGATCTATGCGCCATAGTCTTAATTTTGCTTGAAAATCAGATGGCTTTATCATTATGAGGTAAATTGTAATAAATTATTCAAAATCTGCCAAAATATCAATGAAATGAATATACGTCATCGGCGGCTGCAGGAATTCCATCCGTCCGGCCTTGCTGAATGGATTTATGCCTGTCCTACAGTCTCTGACCCATTTTTTTCGCTTGAAGCCTACTGAGATTAGATATTGCATGGGGGGAGGGGGCACCTTAATCTCCGACGAATAGTTCGTTATGTGGGGGGCATACTGTTAGTATGTTCACCGTCCTACTCTGATGACAGGATGGAGTATTCATTTTCTGTCTTGCCTCTGGGGTCCGAGTCCTGTTTTGGCTTTTTTCGAGCGTGCAGTTGGGATGTGGCTGCCGACGACGTGCAGCCTAAGTATGCAACACTAACCAGACATCTCGTAACCCACGTCCCACATATCATGGCACCTTCCGCAATATGCTTGAGATTCATAAGGCTGCAGTGGCGTTGGCGCTAGCTTAAGGTGGATCTGAAAACACCGCCACTTACTCGCCCCCTGGGAAGTTGCCTTATAGGAATTATCAAGGGCTTTTGGGGCACATGGTTTAACAAGAACTGGTAGGATCGGCTAATCGTTTAAAATTTATTACGCCTCTATGGGCGCTGCTTATTTTATTTCGTTGGGCTAACTGCGCTTATGCCCCTACACTTCAACTAGACACTTTCCGTTTGGCATGATCAGGCTAATGGCATCTTGCTGACTTTTGTCATTTAACTCTGCGTTGTGCCCTCAATGCCCACCTAATGTCCTATATGCGGCCTTAAGGCCTGACTTACAATGCCCGTGCTATTCTGCATCAGCACGCTATCCGATGGGTTATTACGATCCTACGGTCAGAATCCCTTCATTATTAACCCTTAATCACGGTACTGACCTAGGCGCTTGACATCTGACTGCGTGCCAATAAAGGGTCTAAACACCAGATAACTGTACTTTTTGTTCTAGCCGGTGCATTTTCTTCTGGAACCTAGTCAATTTCTCGAGCAAATCTCATTCAAGCGGTGTGAAACTCTAAAACTGAAATATCGCCATCGTTCTGACGTTAAGTTTTATATAATGCGGGCACCCTCATGCGTCCACTGGTAAACTTAAACACAAGAGCCCCGGAAACACGGTATCTGCCAGAAGCGTCATGCTTCTGACCCTTCGACTTGGGAACCCGGAGTAATGGATATCATTCAACGTCAGACCCTATAACACGAGTCACCCGGATTTCCAGCTAAGATGCCAGCCACCTTCCATCGAACTCGCGACCAAGGCACATCCGTTAATCGATTTCCTGCCGAAATTAAGATAGCATGGCCACCGCATTTCGTTTAGCCATTTAGACTGTTATAGTACAGTTTGCCAAAATTTATAGCTCGCTGACTATAAGATACCTTGTGCAATTATTTACCGTACTAACAACACAGACACGCGTGTTTCGCCGATCTTATGCCGCTGCCTGACGCAGCTGCAAGGGGTTCGGCTCGTCAGTGGGTCCCCCAGCTTTCCCCGTGTGTTTTCTGGTATATGAACTCCAGTTTTAACTTGCCTTGTTTAATTTCCGAGGAAATTAATGCGCGAACTTGGAGTAAATCTTTCGAAACGGGCCTTTTCAGGCACGCTCTAAATGTTGATATGAATATTTGAGCTGAAATCCATCAGCTACTGCGGAATAACCGCTTAATATTCACAAACCGCCAACAGGCAGCCAGTAGTATAGATCTGTGCAATGATTTACCGTAGTGACAACGCAGGTATTAGCTATAAGATACCTTGTTACATAACGTGGATGAGTAACGGTGAACACAGGGCTAAAATGGGCGTAGCGATGGCGTCTTTGACCAAGTTAGTTGGGCAAGAACGCAATGGATCCTGCCGATCAGACCTGAGATGGCTTCGCACAGGCGGTGAGATTACCCAACGAAGACGGCGTTTTCACAGCAAAATCTGGTACTTGAGGTCTCTGCGATGCGTTCGAGCATCCGGCTAGTTGCTGTTAAAATGCCTCCGAGCAAACCAAAACCGGTGCAATTCAACTAGGATTATGAGGGAGACTTTTGACAAGACCGAGGAATTTTGCGGGACCAACTTCAGATCTCCCAACACCATAAGCAGTGGGCTAACGAAACAGTAGGTGGGCTACTAAGCAGCATGTCAGGCACTTGGCCACCCGCACAATCCCCCGTCCCAGAGGTCATTGGCTTTAAGTACGATACAGGTTTTGCCTGCCAAGCACTCAGCAGTAGAGAGCACTAAAAGTGAAGATAAATTTGCTGAGAGATCGATTAGGCGCTTTCAGACCACTCAGGTAATCCAAATCCTCCCAAAGTATAAATAACATCGTCGACACAAAAATTCAGTTTTTCCCGTTTTTAAAAATGATGCCATACTTCAATTTAATACGGAAACTGGATATGAGGCTAGGAGGCCTCTGGGGGGCTCGTCCAGGAGGGCAACGAGAACAGTGCCTCAAGGCCTGAGTTTGTTAGATTCCACGTGTGATCAGCCAGGGTGGCGTTAAGGGCGATATCTGCCGGATGAAGTGGAGCACAGTTACTGAAGTAGAGCGCAGAATCTTGTCCACCGCGGGTGATATTGAGGGAGAGGCTTTGTGCGTCAGAATGGAAACCACAGAAAACAACGGTAGAAGCGGCTGATTCCTATAGGGTGAATATGGGAAGCGTGTATGGAGGTTTGAGTAAACATGATGATTTAAAAACGCGCCTTGAAAGATGCTGAACAAAAATTAGCTAATTCAATAGAACTTAGGCTGAAACAAGCAATGCCAGTAAAGATGTCTCAGTGTAATTCTTCAAGAACAGAGGTAAGGCAAAAGAAATAATTACCCTGGACAGGAAAAACATGTCTTTTAAAAATCGGATTAAAAGTTACAAAATGGTAATTGCCCAGGCGGAATTGGCTTCCCTGATTCCTGTGGATAAAAAGTAAAGTTAGCGTAAACTGACGTAACTGAAGACGCAGAGTATACCTTGCCGCAGTATCAGTTAATAATCGGATTGCTTTTCGTGAGGTAAAAATGTTCCCAAATCTTTCTTTCCTCAGTCGAAAAAGTTGTCGACGAAAATCTCATTCATGTCATCTCAGTTATGGTCCTTTTCCTTACTTTGCGCCAGCACAGATCAAAAAATATAGTACACTTGGAGCAAATCCAATGGAGGTAGGGGTATGCACATAAACTTCACACAACATCTTGAATCAGAAAAACGTTGGGGGCAAATTTCCCAGGGAGGAGAGGGAAATCTTGTCGCCCATGACGAACGCAAGGACCATTTAACTACAGATTGTGCCATGGTCGCAATGTGTTTTAGGACCGCGCGGATGAAAACGCCTGCCAGCCATTCAAAAGCAGTGCTGCCAGGTGAAGTATTTGTAGAAAATAAGTAAGTTAAGGTGTGGTTATGTAGCCGCACCTGATGGACACAATAGTGTTGACCTACTTAATTATTTTGAGTTGGTGTGACTACGGTGGCATGGTTTTGCTGTGCGTTGCGGTGTGTTCTGTTGGCGGCCTTGTTTCTTTGTTGCCGTGTCTACCTTTTTCGGCCAAATGCCGGTGGTCCTTCTTGACTTTCGGTCTGTCGTCTCCATCTAACTTTCGCGTTGGATTTTCCGGGGTTAGGGCTGCGGTTAAGGGTTAGGGGCATAGGGCAACTATTTCTCAACCACTCACAGTACAACCGCGCATTCCCAATGGCTTTTGTTTTGTACACAATTACTTGACCTAGTCGCATGCGCGTTCCCCGGCCCCACCTGTAAAACCCATATTACCACCGGCCCCGTATTACAGGTGGCCGGTTTTTTTTACCTCGGGTGCGGCTACATAACCGCATTTGACCATAATTCTGTTTCTTAGATGCGTAAGGCTGCAACCAGCCCGTTTGTTTTACAGAGGGGAGGAGGATTACTTTAAAGTCGGCTGTGCAATCACACACAGAAAACCGCCATCGTAAATAGCGGTACCAGTGAAACTGGTTTCATTACACACACCAAACCACTGGACATGCATGAGAGTTCGACCACCGCCGTCGACGAGGCCTACCACCGCCCCACGGGAGGGGGGGTGAGTGTGGTGCTGACCCGTGCAGACCTGCTGTACCCGCCGAATCCTCTCCGCCCACACCAACTGTGCTCCGACAGATGAAAGCCGCGGGTGCGCGGGAGGGGAGTAGACGACAAAGCTAAACAGGTTGTCGACCTGCCGCACATGACCTGGCCTCTAAGTCCGCATGACCAGACTTCATCAAGATGCTGTTTTCACATGAGTAAGATGTGCACATGACAATACAGCGCTTCGCCTATCACAATAAGACTGACAAACTGCATCGCATGGTTGTTGCATGAGCAGTGGAATGTTTTGCCGGTCGTTGAAGCGTACACGAGCATAGTCAAGTAGGAGCATGCATTGTCTTGATATGTTTGCGTGCGTGTAGAGTGAAGCTGGAATGAAGAAGGCACTACAGCCTGTCTGGCTAGGGCGATATGAGTCGAAGGTTATTTGTCAATCTGAGCGTCTCTCGAGACGGTTCTAACGAAAAGGCTCGACATAAGTTCTGTAATGAGAATTCTTTTCGCCAACTGGAAAATGACCCTAAATGCAGTTTGAGATTACAACTAAAAAACAGCTGGACTGAAGTGGGAACTCGCGACATCACTGAAGCCGGCTAGATCAAACAGAATCATTGGCATATCAAGTACGGGTACCTGGGCGGCAAGAATCAAAGGTAAAAGCATGCACTGCTTTGGTTCTTATTTTTGGGTATTTTTACCGAAGTGATTGGAAAAATACACAACCAAGGGCGACCATGCCATTGTGGATGAGTTGATGAGGAATGATACTGAGGTACCGAGGTGGTACTTAATTGGTCTTTTCAGTTTTAAGGTGCACTAAATCTGTCTTGTCAATGCTCCTGGAGTTTCGGTTTATACCGCGAATGAGGATCTCATGGCTTGTGCAGACAGACTACACATGAGAAGCGGACTTGGAGTTATTTCCGAACTAGAAACGCAAAATCTGTTTCGTGCGCCCATCGATCTCCCCACCCAGATTACCGCAAGATAGTGCATAAGTTCACCAACACACCAGGGATTTTGTAAGGGGATAGGCCAGCCAACGTAACAATCGGAGTGCGAACCACGATGCTCCCGCGGATGGAACGAGTTCCGTGGCCAGAAGATTTCCCGGACTACAGACCAAGATGTCAACATTGTGCGACCACACCCGGATTCGTCGGCGTAGGGCCCCCGCGAAGAGGAGCTGAAGACACTTTGTGTTGGCGTAGTGTTGAATGCATTCCAAAAGGTTGGCAGAATAAGGATTGAAACAAGCAGGTGACGGCGGGTAGGAGAGTAAGCGATCAAGATCGGAAGGATCCGTCACAGATGCTGACCTGCGGTTGTAAACGACCAGCGAACAGTGAGTGGGAAATGATATATAATAGCTATGAGCCCTGCTACAGAACTTTGAGGAAATATATTCAAAAAGAACAAGATTGGAAAGATTACTAAGCTCCACGGCTGTCTTTAAGGAGTGGACTATGTTCCGAGCGGTCTCGGACAGTTTAAAAACGTTAATCTACAAGCTGTTTCTTCATGCTGACTCCGAACGTCCCCTTACACTGTGGTAGCTAGGAAACAGCGGCCAAGGGGACAAAATATGGGTATTTACGTCTACAGATCAGTCAGTCTGGGGCACGAAACCACGTATGTAGTTGTCGTAAAATATCAAAATTCCAGACGGTGACATCTGTATTCCAAGAAGCTGCCCGACGGTAAAAGTTGTGGCTGCCCGCACCCTCCTTCCTGTCATAGAAACCTTGTTAGACGAGATGTCGTGGCGTCTCAAAAACTGGTGCACGAACGGCTATTTGAAGGAACGGCAAGTCGAACGTCTGAGCCGATTCGGGCTAACAATTGTCCACTTCTAATGTGGCCTAGTGAAAACTCGTATCAGTATGATACTTGGACCACCGAGGCCCCGTTTGAATTGGTTTAGAACTCAATGTTTTCTACGAGGGAGACTGGGCAGAATGCTTGGCCAGTCGATGCACCCAAACCCATATGCGGTCGTTTTCGGCTAGGTCTGCTACTGGGACGCAGTGGGTAAGAGAAGGTAGACACTGTTAAGTTTTCTTAGCCACAATACAATTCACGAGCAAGCCACTAGTTCTCCGACGGAACAACAGTTATCATCACATGTTGGACAGACTGAGTGCTCGGGAAAGCATGCGAGTATCCTGCCTTCCACCGCGGGCGTGGCCTTGTGCAGGAATCCTTTTGACCGTTTTTTCGAAAAGTATGACCTTCAGACGCACTACGCCATACTTCCCTCCGGCCGTCTTGAATAAACATTTAGTGGGCATTGGAGCAAATGAGCAGGAGGCCTGCAGTCTACGAGGAGTATAATACTATTCGGAAGCAACTTGATTTGGGGGGGGGGGGCAGAATGAGAAAAGAACCCTTACGCAGTGTCCTGTAAAGCTGCCGTTGGAAAACAAATACGCGACAAAATCTACCGATGCATAAATTTGGATAAGCAGAACTGGGACGCGTCAAACCATAGGAACAAATGCCAATCCTCCTAAAAGGTTTCAGGACGCTATAAAGGAGGGCAAAAGTGACACCGTTGAGAAAAATAACACGGACCTATGTGCTTCGCACGAGACAAAAACAACACGTCCGTTGCCCACTTGACGCAGAAGAGGGTAGAGGAGACGGAGAAGAAACACATGAGAAATGAAGTTCACCTGCACCGTCCTTTCAAAAGGACATCCAATATTGTTCGGCAGGGAGTTGGCGCTGTCGAGGACTACATTTCCGCCCGGCCAAAATCGTAAGATGGCGTTGAAGAACCGATCAGAAAGCCATCTATGCAGGGCAGAAGAGGACAGCAACAGGATCGCAGCCATAAATAAGGGCTACTTATACGCGTAGAGTAACACGAATGGTTTTATATACTATTCCCTTGAAAATGTCGGCAGCAGGATAGCCTAGCAAGTTTTGTACGTAAGGTCGGAAAAGCGCATAATTAACAAAAATTATGCCCCGCAGACAGGTTAACTCACTGGGAATAGCGCTTTTTGGGGTGACAGAGTTGCGGTTTCACTTGACTATGAAATAAAAATTACACACAAAAGAGTCCCCTCCGCATCAGACTGCTTACAGATGTATACCAGTCATTATAAAATGGTGCAAAATTGCCCAAGGACCCACCCTTACCCCAAACAGCCTGGCATCTTCTTTGGCAGTTCCGCGGAAGAGAGAACAAGTACATGTAGTGGCCAACTCAAGGAATGATAGAGCTATAAATATCCAGGCAAAGTACACAGGTATGAGCTTTCAGGCAGTGGACAAGGGACAAGCGCGAAGGGTAGAAAATCAAGTGGGACAAGCTTTTCACCTGGCCGAATGCGTAGACGCTGTACAGATCCGTCAGGTCGGCAAAGGCCCAAAATACGCAATCAGTCCGCGGAGTGGAGTAACGAGATAGTATTTGGGAGTCTGGAGGCGGTGTTCGGGAAACACAAACAACTACCGCCTCCTTCTTTGCAGCAACTTCTTTGACAACTGTGCTGCCCAGGCCCTTGCTGCCGCCCAGAATCACCACGAACTTGGAGGACAAATTGCAGTCAGTTAAAACCTAGAAGTAAAGTTAGCGAAAAATTTGTGCGCGACAGTAGTGGAAGGGACGACTAAGAAAAGGTGGGGCAGGAGGAAAACTTGTCAAGACTTACATCAGTGGCCGTGGAAAGATTATCGAACCTGACTGCGCGTTTATTGCGAGACCGACCAGGGCGTCTCTTCTTTTTCAACGGAAGAGCTAAACGCGGGTCAACATAACTCTGCTTCCCCTGCTCGTAGCTAAAATAGGTCAGGTAAAAATTGGCAAAACAAAAACGTCAAAAAACAAACGGACAAGATGTCCTGAGTCATCAATTGCTAAGAATCCAATGAGTTCTTTCCTTGGCAAGAGCTGGCGAGCTGTCCCGCGTTCAGACATGTACAAAGGATTAAAGGAGAAGCGAGCTAAGTGCACTCGTTAGTGAAGTTCATTAGATTAATGATCGAAGTTTGCTAGTACTTTGCGTGAGATTGAGGAAATGCTGGATGTATAAATGTTCCCCTTCAGAATCCGCGGCCGTCTAAAGTGTCGCCAATGAATTAGATGTCAACGCTCTGGCAAGGTTAAGTTGCACCGCCGGGCGCCGACTGCTCTTTTAAACTCAGGAGCCTGCTACTGTTGCAGTTAACTTTCACTTAATGCTTCTTCCACATGTCACGTCGTTAGCTCGCCTTATGTTCCCCTGGTTTTCGACATCTTGACCTGAGTAGGTGGGACAATCTTTAGTGAAGTTGGTCGTTTATAAGAGCAGGATAACGCAGAGTCACTAGTACTAGTTAAAACCTCATAAGTGTTTGAATAGTCTCGTGCCACTGCATAACACGCCTGCGGGGCTACGGCTCATCCGTGGTCCCCTCAGCACTTTAAATGTGCTTGCCGGTATATACTCAGGTTTTTAATGTCACGTTTCTAGTTTTCTCAGAAAGATGTGTATGGAATGTGATGTATGCGAATTCTTTGTGAGGAACTGCGTCATGCAGCCGCACAAACTTAGCGAAACTTATGTTTGGGCCTTTAGTTAGTACCCGTGTTGGGAGTCTTAATAATCAACCAACCCTTGTGAATATGACCTTTTTCATGAAACGCCCTCGTCTGTGATTTTCGTCTGTTCCATAGCTCTTTTTAACCGACGTGCATCCTCGCAAAATTTAGTTCGTGAGGAAACTTAGGAGAGAGTTACTTGAAGGTCTGGGCATAAAGAAAGGCAACTAGTAGAGGTCCTGCTCTGTTACATAACTCGAAGCCGAGTCAATTGACTAAGTTGTTTTACAAGGCTGTCGCCAAAGTGCAAACACTCATGGACAGCTCTGATGCGTACGTGCAACCGGATACTGCACTCTTGCCTAACATTCGCTTATTTTTGAAAAAACGGGAGATCAGTCGGTAGAACCTGTGGTTGAGAGCGATATACAACGTACAAAAATCCACTTTGCGCCTTAAATGCTACTTATTCGGTAGGTGGTGCATTTCCGAAACATCGTCGGAAATTCGAAGATATGATTCAGGTTATAACTGATTACTTGGGTGGGATTGTAATACTGATTATCATGCAGTCTAACTCCATGTTGCTTCAGTCAAGCCAAGATGCTGACTTTCAAAAGCACGTTTTTCTGGCCGCTTGCAAAAATCGCATTAGTTAAAAACTACTACCCAAGTAGCGTGATCTTTCTTTCATTGATTTTCGACGTCCTTAAATATCTAAACTGACTTTCTACAAAGCAAGCACAAAAACCACATTCCTTACACCCATTTTGTAGCAAATTACATCTTCAAATTTCCTTCCTCGCGAAAAAATATCCTCCAATTCTAAAAAAATTTTGTCGACTCCCGAATAATCCTAAGACTGACCTACCGTTAACTTGCATTTAGTGTTTCCAAGACACACTCCCCGGTTAAGGAAAATTACACATCTGCCCATGCTACTAAGAAGTTGCCATATAGCACTCCAGAAATTTTGCAGTACATATGGACCACGTTACATATTTCGGGGGAAAATTAATAAACAAACCGATATGATGGTACTTGAATAAGTATCTTTGGTCTTAAAAAGTCCGATAAAAAAACTTTTGAAACCGAAGGACATTGTTTTCTCGAGTAAAAAAGCTTGAAAACGCAGTTTGCCACACAATGAGTGAAAAAAATGGTTTTTGTGCATGTTTTCAAGAGAATCTGTTCGAATACATAACATACGGCAACAAGAGTTCGGCCGCCGTTCTCGACCATGTTCGCCGAGCGCCCCCAGGCGGGATGGGCGTAGAGACGGTGACTTGCGTGAAAGTTCATTTATTGAGGTTGCAGACTTGCGATGTATCCACCGCACTCCCTCTTCCTCCCTCCCCCCTGGATCCGGAGTCAAGAATGTCGGAGGTGGGGTCGGGCCCGGGTGACTGACGCAGCGTGAACGCGCACCTGGGCGTGTCACCACACCCCTGGCTCGCACACACAGCATGGGGATTGCACAGGAGGAAAGAAGGGCGGTTCGGACCCCAACTAAGTAGGAGTGCCATAAAGGTCACATTAAGAAGGAGCCCCTGCAACTAAACTCCGCCCTGAGTGGGCCGAGTTGTCCCGTCGGCTGCGAGCCCCCTAAGCCACTGCCTTTAGCGCACCGTGATAAATCCAAACGCGTCAGTGCCTAGTGGGGAATATGTCCTGAGGTAGTCGAACTCACTTCCTCTCTCCACTCCCAGACATCAGTCGCTCAGTCTGAGCCGCTCAATCAATTAATACGGAGATTCGGCACAGTGGCTGACGGAGCTAAAAACCGTCCGTCTGCGTGTGCTACACACACGGGCTGACCCCCAACACAACACACCAGGATTTCACACAGGGATTCTGATACATATGAACGTCGAAAATCAATGGAAAAAATCCACGCTACTTAAGCAGTCGTTTTAGCCAGTGTGATTTCGGCGAGAAGCCAACATCCTGAGGTGGTCGAAAAAATTTGGGACTAAACTGCATGGTAATTAGCATTACAACCCCACTCACGTAAGTTTTCCCAAATGAAATGATATATCCGAATTTCAGATTATGTTAACAAGATGCGTCACGAAATAAATATGCAAGCAAGAGTAACTATGCAGTTTCCCTTCGTGTTAGCTTTGCGTCTCTCAACAGTGAAGGGAAAATATCCACCAAACTCACAAAATACTGACTGGCGAAGAAGAGAAAGGTGGAGGCAAGTCATACTCACTCCTAGTTTCTGAAGCACAAATATGACGAAAACAAGGGCCAAGCGAAAGTTCTGGCATCCGATTTTGTCTTGGCAGCCCATCAGCGAATCAAGTGCAGTTAGCCAAAACCAGGGGGACATATAACCCTTCGAAGAGGGATGTGAGGTTTAAAGTAGGACGCTAACTCTTTATGCACGAAATTGGCCCACCGAGAGAAGTTGCTCATGTAAACCATTGTGGGCTTCGAAGTTCTAGATAACTCTTGTCGTCTCTAGGGGCAACAAGCCAGATAGCTACTCCCTCAGCCCTCGAAATTTGTTATGCCATACTAGTAGACGAAATATGTTACATCATATCTTAAATATATTCAAAAAAGGGATAGGTAATTTTATGCACTTGACAAATAAGGTGTTGTGCATTGACGACTGAATGTGCAGCCACCCCTCCGGAAATGGCGAAAGGATACGTTCGTAATCGTCAATTGGGTGCCTTGTGCGAATTTCTTCATTGAAACAACTAGACGGAAAATCATAAGATCAAAAAACATGTTTTACTTGATAAAAATGACTCGGTCCGTGTGTTCGCATACTTTTATTTGCCATTCTGGAGGCAATGCGTCATCAGAATCTGAGTCGCAATCCATCTAAGGAAAGGTCCCCATGGGCCGGTCTTAAAGGACTGGGGAACACACCGACGGCAGATAAAGCACCTTCAGTTGGCAGCAGATTACACCACCACAGCGCTTTGAGTCGACCGCAAGAAGCCACTGATCACATCGATATTGCCCGAAGCCGCTGCAAAGATTCAACAGTCATGCCAGTAAAAGCATATCAAAGTTACTAGGGATCCTCAAACAGTGATAGTGTCAGTGAGAGATGGGGTCAATATAGATATCAGTCAATCTTAAGAGCAGAAGTTTTCTAATCCAATCTGAGCTCAATTTGTGATTGCCGTCTACCTAGTGACCGAAGAAAAGTCCAGACTTTTTGTCTGTGATGTAAAGGCTATTGGGACCCCTTATTCGTAAAAATTTGCATCCATTGGTTTCCCTCCGGAAACCAGGCCTGTTAAATGTAATGACGTCTGTGGCCAAAAATGTGGCACCGGGATCAAATCAGCAAAACAGACGACGTTGTCATGCGTGCCTTTTTGTATTCCATACTCGTGCTATGGTCTGATCGTCTGGGCTACATTTCCTCGCCGAGGTGGAAAATGTCCATCAGATGTTGGAATAATTGCTGACGAGCTCCTCAAACCTAGGCTACCATATATGCATAATGGAAGTCCACTGCCTGTAGGCTGTGATCTTAATGAACAGTATAAATGTGCAGTTAGTTCATACTTTTTAATATACACTCCCCTGTCTCGTGGATGCAGCGGCGTAGACGAGAAGAGTGTATGCGTAAAAAATGTACGACGGCTTCATCCTGGTTATGGTGGACTATTTCACGAAATGGGCAAAATCGGTACCACTCTTACGACAAGACGCTACATCCATTATTCCTAACCTTTTCAATAAATGAATATTCCGTTTTGGAGCGTCATTAGCTATGCATTTAGACTGCGATGTCAATGTCGATACAAAACTAGTCCAAGACGTGCGCGATCTACTACAGGTCTATGAGGCCCGCACAACGCCCTTCAACCCAGAAGATAATGGACAAATGGGACGAGCGACCGGACATAAGCCAAGCGCCTTAAGGCTTTCACGGAGGACTACCACCCAAACGACTCGGAAAAAACGCGTTTCCGGTGTCACGATGGCTTACCGGGCGACTTTCTATGTCTGCACGGGCTATGTGCCTTCATGACGATAACAGGCCACACTTTCTGTCTCCCAACAGACTCTCACCTACCCTTGTCGCTGCTAAGCGCTTACACGACTGATGACTAAATCGTACACCTGCAGGAACTGATGCGACTGACCCATAACCTGACCCGCTCACCTTTAAGGTAGACATATGAATGACAGAGTAGCAACTTTAACGGACAGACGCATTGTACTCCTCATGTACACGGCGATCTTCTGTGAAAATATCCCCCCCCCGTTCTTCCGTAAGGCACGCGAGTAAAATTCTTTCATCGCCGGGAAGGCCTACTCGTAGTTCTGGACGTCGTACTCCGGCTAACTACGTACTACTTGACGCATACACCAAGATGGAATAGTTTTTACAGAAAACTACGACAAACGTAAGCCTTACAGAGGACGCCTACCCACTGCCACGAATGACACTTTCAATTGTTCCACCGTACGTGGTACCCTCACCGGCTACCAAAGTTGTGGCAAGTGACGCACCCCCCAGTGCCCTTGCCGACAGGGTTCCATCTGAGGAGGGCAATGTGTATGACCCGATAAAAACAGGCTTGTTTTAACGAGACAGAGAGGGAGCAGGCAGGAGGAGACTGGAAGCGTGGAGACAATAACTGGATGTACCTTTTTGATGTTTTGTAACCGAATGTGGTGAAGTATCTCTGAACCCGAGGCCAGAGCCAGTGGGTTTTGTCCCTCCGAGGCCTCAACCGTAATCCCCGAGTGTCTAATCTTTCCCCTTGATCCTCAGAACCAGGTGCGCTCGTTGACACATTTTTGTTTCCCCTTCTCTACACCTTCTGTTCTATAATATATCGCTTCCCTCTCTAGACCTTCTTCATTGATCAAGGATACATCCGTCTGTTGAGATATTGTCTGACTGTGCGATCCCTTCGGGAAAGAAGGAACCAACCACTTCTCCACCCAGCCTCATCAAGGCAACGGTCACTACGTCAGAGCCGACTCCTCCTATTGGACAGTCGGGCGATCTGCCTACCACAATGGTGGCAGCGCAACGACCGTACGCAGTCTTAACATACAATCGGAAATAAAGGATTCGAAACACGTGCCATCCAGATACTACAGTACGGTGGTAAGGAAGCCTACTTAATCTGGCTTCGGAGAGCAAAACTCTACCTCGAGGAGGTCGCGACGCCAGATAAATCACGCACAATCCTCAAGGTCCTGGCGCCTAAACAACTAGATCAAGCACCCGACGTAGGGCCTGCGTTTAGTAAATTTATTTGGACATACATGCTCCTTTAGGGATTCCATCGGACAATTACACAAACGGCATTTATAACTCGATTAAACAACGAATCAACTCGTAGAGGATATGAATCGTCTCATGACCGTGGCATATCCCACGTTAGCAGCTGCGGATAAGGACAATGTGGTCCTCCATTGCTTTATAAAAGCCCTGCCGGCGTCTGATTTATCGCATTTCCCTTGCTACAGCCTTCAGATGACCTGCAAGACACAGTTGACCGGGCCGAACGCTATCTACGTCTGAGCCCCACAACCCATGGTTCCCCAGATCCCACTGACACACTGTTGGAACGGACCCCATACGGCCACGGGAGAAGGGCGTCATTTTCCTACACGACATTTCTCTTCCAATCAATGAGTTGGGCCCTTTCGTAGGCCGGGAAGACAGTCTTCTTTTTGTAACTAGGCGTGCATTTGTAACAGGACGACGGGTACCGTTTCTTTACCTCAAGCACAAACTTCCCTTTTTCAGTTGCTGCATTTTGGGCTAAAGTGTCTATAGTTAGTCAGACAGTACGGGCGTTGATTGATACAGAGCCGGCAGTATCGTTAGATAATCCACAAATTCTACCCACTTACGTCTATCACCAGACAGATGAAGCAGGCCAACCAGTCAGACTAAACATGGAAGACGGCTTATCTCTACAACATCGCGGTGCGGCACACCTTTATCGTGACCCCCACCTTACATGGGATATTCTTCTGAAGATCGATTTCCTGGCTCGTTGCAGATGCTACATTGATGTAAAACATTGAAATGTCGATTTCGGACAAACAGACAAGGAAACTCGGACCACGACTCCTATCATAGATGAAATTGCCGCCTGTGCGGCAATCAATGCTATGCTACAGATCTTAGTTACGTCCATCGATGTTATCTTACTCAAAGAAGACCAAATAGACGTTGAGAAAAAACCACTAAGAATAATGCTACTGGATTTTCGCGATATTTTGTGCATGGGACGAGTATACGTTAGGCCGGACAAATTGCATTCATGTCATCGAAACGGGTGCAGGAAAGCCCATTTGGCAACGCACACGTTGTATTTCAGCGTACTTGCAAGAAGGTGTTGATACGTTATTGGATACCATGCTAGCTACGGGAGTGATCGAACCCTCTCGTTCTCCGTGGGCATCACCAGCAACACTGGTGCCAAGAAAGAACGACAAGATACGTTTCTGCAGACACTATAGACTTTTTGATCCGGTAACAACACGAGATTCGTTTCCCTCACCCCACATCGAATGTACGCTTGACGCCTTGGCAGAGTTTAGTGGTTCTCTACTTTGGATCTTAAGTCTTTCTATTGTCTAGTGGAAGTGGAACCTGCACACCGTCAAAATACGGCGTCCATTCTTCCACAAGGATTATACGAGTTTTAAACTATGCCTTTTGGCCTCTGTGACGCAGCCGCTACATTTCAACGTTTAATGCAAGTCATTAGCATTTTCTGGCAGCTTTTTCTCTACACTTAACCCAAGAACGTTGCAGAATTTGTAACCTTCTATGGAAGAAACAGGGAAATCGGGTATTCTATGTGACATCCGTATAAGAACTCATCCTGAGTTCCGAACCACTTGCACTCCAGAGGAAGGATGAGCCACATGTCAGACAGGCAGAATTTAGATGACACGCTCAAGAACGTCCTCAAAAGGGCAAACGACGGGCAGCAACGACGATGCAATTAAGCATCTACTAGTGGACTACAAAACAGTAATTGTTAGTTAAGGAAATAAATTGTGCTCTACTAATTTTTGTGTTTTTAACAAAGAATCGAAAGCATTTACCTATTTTTGTACGATAGAGTAATAGAGGGTGGAAAAAATAATAAGGCGGGAAATAAGAAGAGGGTGGTGAGACTGAATTACTCCTTTTTGACTTGCAGGCAAGGACGCTGAGGCGAGCTCATCCGTCGATATCTTACCATCGGAAACACAAAATTGAACTACTCCAAGACCACCCCTCCAATCATATTAACATTTCGCCCTTTTATTCTGTTTTATATCCGTCGTTATCTTTTTCACCACTGTTGTAGCCGCGGCATACTCACCTTTGGTTTACGCGGAATGCTGCGTAGTTAACGTCGTAGCTGGACGTGGGGTTGCTCCTAAAAAGGGTCCGTCGTCTGACACGGAGTTAGGATCCTCCGGGACAACACTCATGATTCCAACAAAGTGGTCCACACAGACAGATTATGTAACAGAAGTCGCTGATTAAGGAGTAAATACATTCCGCGGTTGGAGAACAGGAGAAAAGAGAGCGAAAAAGATAGCGACAAATATAAAACAGGATAAAAGGGGGAAATGTTATTATGGTTGGTGGGGTGGTCATGGATCCATGACCATTGGTGGTAAGATCGTTTGTGTCAAGAACGTATTGCGTGACAGACGTAGTTGCCTGTGAATGGTATTTAGTGAGTTAGTAAACATTTGTGATTACTTTGATTATTCACAACGATCGTCCTGGAAAAAGGTGTTTACGGCTGAGCTTGACACCACTGTCAGCTGTGCACCGTTGCCAAATACCTTCAGTAAGTTTATCTGCTTCCCACAAGGTACTCATTATGTTTTAATAGAACTAATTAGCAGTTCTTAGTAAATCACTTACTGTCCTTTCGCCATCGCCAACAGTGGTCGTGAGCCCTACAAACGCACAGTAAACGTAGTGATAGGTTTGCGAGCACTGCAGGGAGGAAGTGGTTATAGTGATAAGATTACTAATATCACAAATAATCGTCACTCAACTGTTCCCTGTGCATTTTTAGACATTGCTATGAGCCAGCCAAGTCGCAGAAATCCTCCACGTGAACGCAAGTCTGCCCTGGAAGAAGCGGTGTATTATTTCCACGGAGAAGGCATATCTTCGCCTGTGAAGCGCATATTCTCTGCGCTATTTGAAGACGAAATTTTACTTCACGTCAACTTCAAGGGGCGGAACCTGAAGGACAGCCTCAGTAATTCGGCAATGTATAAAGTCGTACTGGGTAAGTTTGTAATTAAACGTCCCACTATTTACATTTGTAGACGTTTTCGCTGCTTGGAACAAAAATGGCGCTGCTAAAATGTCGGACCTTGAGTCTGCGTTCACAAACAGACTCAAAAGGTCCTTGGATAATTACGTCCAAGGGCAGCAGAAGGAAGTAAGCAACAAAAACTGAACAGGTGATTAAATTTCAATTTTATAATATTAACCTTACCCTATAGACAACAATCCACGATGTTCAACAAGTAATGGACCTTTATCCACACAAGATGCATCTGTGTATTAAACTTTTTGAAAATTGTTTGATCCAATAAAATTTTCCCCAAATAACACGTCTTCAAAATAGTTCTTTTTGGTCGACCTAGTTGCTACCGTTGAAATAGTCACGTGAATTTGGCCGTTTAACGCGGTATAACGTGAACAATAGCAGGCCAAGTAAACCGGGATTGGGATGACTAAGGCGAACAGACAATAAAATTAGGCATGGTTATAAGGACATGTAAACGCAGCTTGCGCAATGCCTAACGTTTCACTATCGCCGACTTCGGAGTATCTCAAAAAATAGATATCCCTTGATATGTGGATGGAGGACAAAATCGATATCTAGCAGATATAGTATCTCGGAAAATAGATATCTTCTTGATATAGTTTGCTGCTAGGGTCCATGAGCACCCCACCAAGCATAATAACATTTCCCCCTTTTATCCTGTTTTATATTTGTCGCTATCTTTTTCGCTCTCTTTTCTCCTGTTCTCCGACCGCGGAATGTATTTACTCATTAATCAGCGACTTCTGTTACATACTCTGTCTGCGTGGACCACTTTGTTGGAATCATGAGTGTTGTCCCGGAGGATCCTAAATCCATGTCAGCTCTGCTAGCACCAGCCCCGTCTGGCCCCCGGGGCTGGGCCCCGTTTGGGCGGGGCTACGACGGGGCTGTAGACGCGATAGCCCCGTCTGGCCCTGTCCTCGAGAAAAAACGCGCAGGGGAGACGCCATGCTCTCCCTGATAGTAACCCCCCATTTACGTTACCAGTATTTTCCCTTTCCTAATTCTCCGTACAGTAGGTTATACTATTCAACTTTTGATCTCTGTACACCCATAACCCTTACGTGAACAATATGTTACCCACATTCATTTACCATAGTGAATGCAAGCTAAAAAGCTTATATTTAACGATAAGAGAGCGAAATCTGTCTAAAATAATGAAGAATGGCGTCATTAGAAAGGATGGAAATTTACAAAAATTCGGACGGGGCCTGGCCCCCGGGGTCATGTGTTGGCAGGGAGACGACGGACTCTTTTTATAAAATAGGAGCAACCCCACGTCCAGCTACGACAATAACTACGCAGCCTTCCGCGTAAACCAAAGGTGAGTATGCCGCGGCTAAAACAGTGGTGAAAAAGATAGCGACGAATATAAAACAGAATAAAAGGGCGAAATGTTAATATGATTGGAGAGGTGGTCTTGGAGTAGTTCAATTTTGTGTTTCCGATGGTAAGATATCGACGGATGAGCTCGCCTCAGCGTCCTTGCCTGCAAGTCAAAAAGGAGCAATTCAGTCACGCTACCCTCTTCCAATTTCTCGCGTGATTATTTTCTTCCACTCCTTTCAAGACAAAAAACCGCTATTACAATACCTCTCAGATGAACCTGTAGCGGCCGAGGACGTCAAGGGTAGCACACACCGGAGTAAGGAAACGCCGAGAAGGGCTCTTGGCCGGGATAGACCTGAACGGAGCTGTTAGCATTCCTTGATACACATCCATACACAGAAGAAGAAGGCATGTCGAATAAGAGATAAAGTGTAATAATACGAGGTTGCACGGGGAATCGTATAATAATCGTTAATAGTACAAGTAGGACGGTTACATCGGTAGAATGACCTGTCTGGGTGGAGAGACGATGCCAACATGCCAGCTAGTAAACCGGTGGGGAGCGCAGCGCTGGGGGCAACTGCAGGGAAGGGTCGAGGGAGTGCCGATGTAGCGAGGAGGCGAGCGGTTCGGACGATACGTTGCGTTACGGTACGACGAGGGGGAAAGGGATCGGCAGAAGAGAGAGGGAGGGACACCGGTTATCTTCACCGACACGCGACTTCGCCATCTCCACCCTAGGTCCTCGCGCGGAAAGTGTCACCTCATTCGAACAACTCTGTCCAAGTCCAGGGGCGTTACAAACCTACTGACCGCCAGTGTAGCCCCAACACCAATGGACTTAAACTGGGATTATCCAAAGGATATTAAAACACTTCTAAGGACTACGTTGGTAGTGTGCAATATAAGCTAAAATTATATGCAAGTCTGAGTCCCTGATCTGAAAACGTTACTTAATTTTATAACATCCTTTCTTCTTCTAAGTGCACAATTTATTCTCATCGTCATCCAAACTACGTTTATTTATCACCCTTGTCACAAAGTTTACCATAATCTAAAAGTGCACGAGGGTGAAATATTTCAGTCAAACATTTATCGCGCAAGTGTATTCAGCCATTCGCAGCCAGGGGGACTCCCTATGTGCATCAACAGGACAGACCACGTGCTGCAGTTGTTTTGTTGTGTTACAAGAGTCAGTGACATTGGGTAGACAAAAAACGTATCCCACATCTCTCTTTACTACTCCTAAATAATCACATCAATATTCAAGTTCGTCCTATTGGTTTACCATCCCTTTTTACGGCACTGCGTACTACTTACTAATTCCTTGTCCGCGGGGCTAGCGGTACCTTAGTTAGCATGGGTTTTCCAAATTTTTATATATTCATGCTGCTGTCTGAGTCGCAAGGATTTTCTCATATTTCCTGTTTATATCAGTAAAATTGACGACTGTTATTTACATAGCAGACCGCTTATGTCTTCTAGGTGAGTTATCTAAGTTATCTTTATGCTCTCTCACCGCTCTGCGGCCCGGTTACGCATTCTCAGTGACGAGTGGTACTGGCATGCATTTCGTGAACAGTTAGTCCCTATTCCTCGTGCGCCTCCTTTTTCTGAGTTACTTTCGTTTCCATTTATTTTGGTTTTAGACCTTGGTTGTTAGGTTAGTCCGCGAAGACTCCAGCAGACATTTCGGTTATATGGCTTTCGCATAACTCTCTAACAGAAGACAGACCGATTTTAGCAGTTTTCTGATTCATTCCAGTCAGCTGTTCCTGGTTGTAGGTGTTTCGTCTTCCAATTCACCTCGTGGCCCAAATTTACGTCCTTCGGTTGCCTCGTCGACATCCAATCCCCCAACCAATAGGGTTTATTAACATTTCCGTTTATCTATCTCACAACTATGCACGAACGTATATCACGTATCACAGGGTACAGTACATAGCCAAATGAAACTTCAGCATTTCAATCTGCACAGCATTTGTGCTACTTATGGCAAGACTGTGGTTGGCATCCGAATGAATAACGTCCTACGGGTGCAGTTGTTTCCATAACTACACCTTCACGAACGAGCGAACAGTCTTGTAACTATCTCAACGACTACGCTGTGAAGAAGTTTCCCCGCGCCCAACAGTGGAAAGTCTTTTATCATCCCACACTACTTTCTCTATTCGTAGTTTCCAGTGTGTTACGAAATTAGTATGACTTACATGTTCACTTAGGACATCACTTACACCTACCTTGCTAAAATTAACAGACAGTTGTAGATCTGGGTGGTTTACTGATTACTAATGTCAAATTGAATACAGACAGTATCATCGGAAACACTTGCATAAGATAATAACAGCAGTCCTCGGTCAATGTTCGGGTACGGGTTTCTGTATATCCCAGAGTGATGGAAGGAGAAATATACGTCGCATACTGGACTTCCGAGCAACCAAAATGCAATCCTTGATCCGGTAACTGCCTAGGGCGTTTACTTTGTAATAGTTTGCCAGGAGAGATAAGGTTAACTGTCGAAATCATACGGTTGTCCGTGGCTTTCTGACAAGGAAATAATGAAGTATGTGAGGAAATGTTCTATTTATGGTATCATACGCTATAGCTGCATACAACTTTCTACAATCTGTCACTTTCCTCAAGCCGATCGACACAAACATCGTTCAGCGACTAGAAGGCTGCTACGTGTTGCAAGAATGTATTCTATTCCTGTATAATTCCAATGTATGTTAGTTTATACAACGGGCAATACTATACTTCCTCCAGGGGACCACTCCTTCGTAGATATCGTTCTAGCCGACTATAATATGCCTCAATGGCACTATTATTTTTGCCAGTTATCGGATCAGCGAAGTTTTTCGAGTGAAGTGCGTGTAGCCTAGTGTCGCAAATAAAGAATCGCCGTTCCAATCATCGGCTATAATGAAACTTCCGGGTAGAATCCGGTGCGAGAGGTTGCAGTTCGGTCATTAACTTGCCTAACAACAGCTCTTTCATGATCAGTTTCGTACATACCGATCAGCCATTCCTGCAGTTTTCAGCGTCCTACGTTGTATTTTCTCCAAGTAACTAAGGTTTCATCAATTTGGACCTCTACACCCTCACCACGTACTTGGGTGACCTCTCGCCGAAGGGCATTTGAACCTACATTTCTGTACACTGCGTACCTTAAGACTGCTGTTGAACGCGATATATCAATCTCATCTGCACATTCTTTCACCCACATGTCTCAAACGAAGCTCAATGCAATTTTTAACATTGTCGATATTGGAAGTCAACTATCGTAAAAGATAGATCGATTCCTTATGGATTTATTTTTTCGGCACTTGGGGTAACGAAATGTCACACCCTCAGCGGGTATACGAAATGTTCTGGCATGCACTGGCTTTCTACAGACG